ACAGATTTACATACATACATACATACATACATACATACATACATACATACATACATACATACACACACACACACATACGTATGTACACATGAATGCTGGCCCCTGCTGCCCCTGGCCTCATATTCCTTCTGCAGCTTCCACAACGGCGCCTTCGACTCCGGAGAGTGGCGAGATGAGGCTTCGATGTATCGTCACAACATAAAACTAAACAGGCTGAAACTTTCTGGGATAATATAGGTTGTACTTAGGGCTCTATAGGGTTTTATGGGGCTTTAGGAACTTCAGGGTTTAGGGCTTTGGGGCTTGGGACGGCTTTGGGTTTAGGCTTCACGCTCTCAACGTTTCCAGCCCGACGACGGCACATGACTTCTTAGCCCATGACGGCTCTTTACGATTGAAAGCCCCATTCAGCCTTGGAAAACCTCGAAACCGAAGCTCCCAATTGACATTGGACGGCCTCGCCCCAGGTGCCCGCAAAAAGGAGGCCGGCAAGGAGGCAGGCACGGGCCATGGACCATTTTCGAATTTCGGTTCTCCGGCTTGGATTTCAGAGTTGAAGGTCTAGGCGTAGAGTTCATTCATTTTTGCTGTATGTTGGTACTGAGTCTTATGGGTCCGTGGGGGTATGGTGGGTTCTCAATGCTAGGTGTTTCTATCAAATACCCGACGACTAAGTTCCGTCTGATCTGAAACTGTCGCGTAGCTTTAAAGTAGGGCTCGGATTCAATCGCCCTAAGCTTCCCTAAACCCCCGGGCGGTGCAAGGTCTCAGACGAAGACTAAACCTCTCTCAGCTTTTTGCTGATCTTCCGAAGGTTCGACCCGCACGATCCGTGGGTACCGTATTGCGCGGCGGAAGCTTAAGATTTAGGGTTCAAGGTTTAGGGTTTAGGCAGAGGTGGGGAACATGGCTGGTCTTCCTGAATGCCTTGGTTGTAGATCAGAGTAATACACGGGGCGTTTTCATCAGAAATGGGATTTTCTGGAGTACACAATAATAGTAATAGTAATCATAATGATAAAAACAGTAATAATAATAATACTAATAATAATAATAATAAATAAATAAATAATTTGGTTCGTAGAATCAAACATGCAACATGGCTTGGACCAAGCACGCGCAAGCAGAAGAGCCCAGACTAGGAGTAGGAACAAGCCCCAACGCGGAGACCAAACCTGAGCCCTGGGACTTGCACTATGGGGAGAAGGAATCCTAGAGCATAAGACCCGCCTGGACCCTTAGGAACCTCCTTTTTAGGGTTCCTTATGTAAGTTCTTAACAAGGTACGTAGGTTGTTTGGGGTTCAGGTAAACCCTAGACCCTAAACCCTTAAAGCGTTTGACCCTGAACCCCGAAACCCGCTGTTTATGGTTGCTTTAGGCTGGGGATCTGTCTCGTCGACACGGTACCTTCCACCCTAAAACCTAAAACCCTAAAGCCCCAAACCATGAAACCCTAAACACTGAAACCCTAAACCCTGAAACTCTAAAGCCCTAAACCCTGAAACCCAAAATGCCCCAAAGCCTAAACTCCCAGAAGCCCCAAACAACAGCCTAAGAAGCCAAGATCACCTCCGATTGACGCTGAGCCCAAAGCCTTGTATGTTTACGCCCATGGACCCACAAAAAATCCCCAGGGTTTGGGGTTTGATGTCGGGACCTAAGTAGTTACCTATACTGTTTTTTGTTGTTCATTTGGGAGGGATGTCCCTTATTATAATTATGATATATGGGCCCCAAAAACCGTGTAGTAGTTATTTAAGGCCCCTATGTTAGCGTCCCGGGTGTTGCGTTTTACGGAAGCCGGAAGGCAAAATAGAAACACCTCCACTAGGAGGAGCTTGCAAAACCTGGTTTTGGGTTTGGGGGTTAGGGTTTACCTGTAGCCGAAAAGACCTACCTTCTTAGGGTTCCTTATTATAGTTTCTATATAAAGTTCCTTAAAACGGTAGGTCTTCTCGGCTACAGGTAGGGTTTCAGCCTTTCAGGGTTTAGGGATTTGAGGAAATCCGCACGCCAAGTCCGTACACCCCTGCAAGGCCGTCAGTACACCCCGAAAGCTAGTGACAAGCAGTGGCTGCCCCACCTTCACTTTTCTTTACCGGGAGCTGACCAGGACAAGAGCTCCGAACAAAACTTCAAAGCTCTCAATTGCAGCTGTCAGCAACTGAGGGCTTGGGTATCGGGCCAGGGTCAAGGGAGTCAGGTGGGAGAACTTCTGAAGATGATGACGGTTTAGTGCTTACATCATCGAAGGGGCCAGGCTTTCAGAAGGAGTAGCGGGGTTTTAGATGGTTCAAGAACTAACATGAAATTAAGAGTCTAAGGGCTTTAGATGATGACGACGCCGCGATGAATTCTACTCGCCTTTATAGGGTTTAGCTGGCATGATGCCGTCTGCGTCACCACTACATGCAAGCTGCTGTTACTTGGACTGGCCTCGACTCAGTGACATTAGTACCTACATCAGGCTGTGCCGGGTTTACTGTGTTTACAGCACTAGAGTGCGGGGCATTTGCGTGTGAAGCCACTAGATTCTAAAATTCCGCACCTTTCGACGTGACAGCCACCTCTGCTCGGTAGCAGCAGTCTCTCGGGCGGAGCGCGTGTTGTGACACGATGAAGCGGCACCAGATTCCGATGTGGTAAGACTTTCTGCTGCCCTGAGCCTCACAGCCTGACATCCCCAAAATCCTGAATCCTAGACCATCTTTCAAGCGAATCCGAATCTGGTTGCCTGTTTTCATGGGCGCGAGCCGCAGCCTCGTGCAGCCTATGGTCATAGTGATCGGCGGCAGGGGTTAGTAGCGGCCTTAATAATTAGAATTAGAGTTTTGGGGTATACTATACTATAATAAGGAAACCCAAAGTATATTGTACTATAACTTTAATAAGGAACCCCAAACTATATTATACTATAACTATAATAAGGGACCCCCAAAGTATATTATAGTATAACTAAAATAAAGAACCCACAAAAAAGTATTGGTAATTGTTTAGGGCCCTAAACTAATCATCTTTCCCTCCCCACGGTTCGGGGTGCCGGGATCAGGGAACGGAAACAGGCCAAAGTGAACATAGAGGCCTGAATGACTATCAGAATAGGGTTTAGTTAAAGGAAACTACCGGTGGGGAGTTTAGGGTATATAGGGCTTCCCTAAGACTTCTGTAAGGTATATAGACCTTCTAGAAGGCTTCTATAACGGTTATAACGGTAGCTACCCACCTGAAAATGTCTTGGATTTAGGTAGGGTTTAGGGTTTATCTATCAGAATGGGGTTTCTGGGAGCTGCTATATCAAGTATTATACCTACTTTCCTTGTAAGTATCACGGACGACAAGGGAAGAACGGTACTCATTATGTTCAGGGCTTGTATGTTGAGCGCCTTTAAGGTTGGGGGCTCCATCTCTAATGAGTCAAACCCTAAACCCTAAACCCTAAACCCTACAAACCCTAAACCCTAAAAACCCTCAACCTCACAGACCCCCTAAAACCCTAAACCCAAAGAGGCCGTGATAGTTTGGAGGGTCAGGGGTTCAGGCAGCTTCGACGTTAAGTCGAGCTCGGGTCCCGCAGGGATGTAGGGGCGAGCTCCGCTTGAAAAGCAGAACCCTTTAGCACATACTGAAATAGTATAGAGTATGGTATAGTACAGAGTTATACTATATAATATATTAGTACAGAGAGTATAGTATACGAAAGAATTATTTCAGATAATATAATCTTATAGTATAAAGTTTGGGTGCTGCACCCCATACTCTAACAGTCTATACTGGGGCTTTAAGGGCCTTATGTATCCATATTATGTATATTACTAAACTGTTACTAAGTGCGGGCAGTATCCCATATATATATATATATGTATGTATGTATGTATGTATGTATGTATGTATGTATGTATGTATGTATGTATGTAGTATAGTGTAGAAAAGAATCATATCAGATAATGAAACTATAAGATAACCGGATGATCGACATGACCAGTGCAAGAAGCTGCGTGGCGCCCCCGCAAAATTCTGCTCACAGCCCCTTCATTTTCCGACGGAATACCTGGAGGATGCGTGATTTAGGCTTTCGACTTACGTCCTGCAACGTGGCGTTTGGAAAAGGCTGAGGGCCTGGGGCTTCAGAGCGGCAGCGTTAGACCCAAGAGCCGTGCCCTTTAGCCTAAACCCTAAAGCCTATACCCCAAACGCCCTAAACCCTTAACATCCCTTCCCCCTGTACCAAAAGCCATCAACCCCAAACCTAAACCCTAGGCCCTAAACCCTAAACCCTGGGCCCTAAGCCCTAAATCTTCAGCCCTAAACCCTAAACCCTAGGCCCTACCCTCAACTCCAACCCAAAGCCCTCAATGCTAAACCCTTGATCTCTCAGTGGCCCAGACCTCGCAACCTCCGATTTGGGACTAGCTAGCTGGATGTCCTACATCTCCAGTTTAGGGTTTCGGTTTGAGGTTTCGGGTTCAGGGCTTTGGGGTTTTGAGGGTTTAGGGTTTAGGGTTTTAGGGTTTTGGGGGTTAGGATTTGGGGTTTAGGTTTTGGGAGGCTTTGTTCTCGTTCATCTTCCTGCGCCTGCCGTGGATCCGGCGACTCAAGATTGATCGAAATGAAGGCAGCCATCCCGAACTTTCCGGATGCGCACGATCTTCCGCCCGGATTGTGGATAGGTTGTGGCGTGGGCGAGGTGACAGCCCACTCGTACCACACCTGCGGGCGTCTGGGATTGAAGCAGTAAAACTCCATCGAAGCATGCGACAGGGGAGACTTGGCCAGGAAATTCAACACAATCGTTGCTCTTGCTAAACCTTGCTGCTACTGTCTGTTTCCTCATCACTGCCAACATCATGACAATCGACCTCGCCCTCCTCCTCCACCTCCTCCTCCTCGTCATCATGATCACCAGCACGGGACCATCGCAGCTAGTGTTTGTCAAGGCCTCCGATCGAACACTGCTAGTAGTAAGGCAAATTCAAGAACGACGGCCATTGACTGCAGGAGCACTGAGCAACATCATCATGCTAACCAGCATCATGAGCATCACTGTGAGCATCTTCGTCACCATCTGCCACCTGAGAATGCGACTTGAACGTCAATAAGTACTGCAACAATAGTGCTGGCAAAACAAAACTGGCGGTAAATAGTACACGGTCAAGACTGCGAACCCTTGCTGAAACACTCAGACCAGTCTTATCATATTGCGTACGAGGGCTTACTAGGGTTGCGAGGGCCAAACGATCTGGTCTGTGAACATAGCTTCATTGTGCTACCACTCTGTTGAGGGAACGGCAGGAGGATCCGTTGTGCAAGCAGACCGCATAGCTCCCATCCCTGAAGCTTTGCCGGCAGTGGCTGGTGTTTACTGAATTGCTTGACAGGGCTGACAACCTTACGACCCAGAAGAAGCACATGACGGGTTGCTTGTCGGCTAAAACATAGGCGCTGCAATGCCGGAACAGACGGCCTTGTTTCTCGGGTGCAGGCTTTGAAAATTGTGCTCCACTTTGGGATGGTTGGCTGATGCGGCAACCTAAGCCGATCAAAGACGACCTCTCTGCAACGCGATGATGATGAAAAACCCTGAAGCCGAAGAAATCTGCCCTTCCCCCGGCCTCTGCGGACATCTAGGCTTTTAGTACTCAGGAAAGCCTACTCTTGCTTCCTTAGCTCACTCCCTAAACGCCTGACCCCTGAACCCCCTACTCTAATCAACAGAGTTAAACCCGTAATGATGAACATCATCACCACTGCAATGGAGCAGAACACCTCTAGAGGGCGACAAAGATACTAAAACGAATACAGATAACAACTGCGACACACACATTAAAGTACGAACTAACATTAACATCCATTCTTACTAGTTACTATATCAGTGTGACTAGCATCAGACCATTATGATGGCGATTGTTCTTCTTTTATTCCTACATCTAGTCTGACTGATTATCAGTAGTAATCGTGGTATCAGTGTGGTTTCTACTATTTTGAACATAAAGAGTTGTGTGTGCGTAGAGAGCCACGGATTACGGTGCTTGTCCTTTCTGGCCTTGCTATAGCGAGAAGTTCCTGAGTGCGATAAATAGCGCAGTAACCGAAACACACAGGTCTGAATTAAATGAGGGTTTAGGGATTAGGGGGTTTAGGCGGTTTAGGGTTTAGGGGGCCCCTCATAGTCCCTACGAAATAGTTTCCTTCTAATCATGGCCAGCTTGTTAGCCATATGGCCCTAAACCTAAACAAACCTCCGTCTCCAAACCGAAAGGCGGCAAGTCGTCTCTTCCCGGTGCCAGCTGGCGCCGTCTTAAAATCGAGGTCTGACATGGGGCATAGCGTGGTGCGAATGCAACAAAAGACATATAAGTACAATTAGCTTGAAAGGGCAAACAGCTAAACTTTCAGAACCTATCTCTTCAAGCTCAGAATAAGGAGCCCGAAAATCCCCCCCAAGAAAAAACAAACAAAAAAAAAAATATATATATATATAGGGTTCCTTAGGGTCTTCGGACTTGAACTGTTTTTTAAGGCCTAGGCTTCCGACTCGTAGGGCTTGGGGTGAGGGCCTATGATGCTTGCTGGATCGTGGGCTCGGGCTCGAGGGTTTAGGGTTTAGGGGTTTCGGGGTTTAGGGGCTAGGGGTTTAGGGCTTAGAGGTTTAGGGTTTAGGGGTTTAGGGTTTAGAGGTTTAGGGTTTAGGGTTTCGGGGTTTACGGGCTAGGGGTTTAGGGGCTAGGGGTTTAGGGTTTAGGGGTTTGGGGTTTAGGGGTTTGGGGGTTTGGGGTTAGGGGTTTATGCATGCGGTCTCTCGGACAGT